TATGTAATAGTTTAACTAATGTACATTTTTTGTAACGTTCCTGCATAGTGGTGACTTTGGAGGGGAAAATTTTCATCCAAAATAATATTACATCGAAATTATTTCATATGTAATGTATGTTAATAAGTACGTAATGCTTACACTAGTACATATTTGTTTAAAAAGTCTGATATAAAAAAAAGTGTATTAAATTTTTAAAATAATTGATAATAAATCGATAAAAATGWATATTGTAATGCAAAAGCATGGATTTAGCTGTTGATGTTCCTTCCTCTTTGAAATCTTCTATTAGACTGATACGTAGTCCCATAAAAAAGTTTTTTTTATCGAAAGTTGTTTATATGTTTTGACGAACGTTGCAAATGTGTAGAAAGAAAAATAATCTTTCTAATAAATAATATTCCTGATTAAAACGTTCTCATTTTAGTATTCTTTTAATTTTAACGTAATTGTTTAAACTAATGTACATTTTTCCTAACGTTTCTGTGCAGTGATGACTATGGAGGGGGAGAATTACATCGAAAATAATAACACATCGAAATTATTTATTATTAGAAGTACGTAAAAAAGACTGTAATGTTCAAATCAGTACATGCATGTTAAAAAACACTGAAATATAAAAAGAGTGTATTAGAGAATTAAAATATTAGTTATGAAATCAATAAAAATGTATATTGTTGTTAAAAAGCTGCAAGTATATGTTCTGTGATCCGTCTTCCTCGAAATGCACCTTGAGACTGGCACTTGCTCTCCTATGAAAATACTTTTATTGAAAGTTGTTTATATGACTTTTCSAACGTTGCGCATGTGTATAAAACGGAATAATTCATTTAATTAATAAAATTTTAGATTACAACGCTCTTATTCTACCATTTTTACATTTTTATGTAATAGTTTAAACTAATGTACATTTCTTGTAGCGTTCCTACATAGTGGTGACTTTGGAGGGGGATAGTATCATCGAAAAGAATATCACATCGAAATTATTTAATATGTAGAGTATGTTAATAAGTTTGTTATGCTTAAAACAGTACGGATGTGTTTAAACAGTCTGAAATATAAAAAGAGTGTATTAGATTATTAMAATAATTGTTAATTAATCGTCGAAAATGTATATTGTAATCCAAAAGCACGGATTTTGCTTTCGATTTTCTTTTCTCTTCGAAATCTTCTGTTAGACTTATACGTTGTTACATAAAAAAGTTTTCACTATCGAAAGTTTTTTATATGGCTTTCTGAAAGTTGCGCATGTGTGCATAACGAAAATATTAATTGTCATTAATAGAAATTAGGAATTTAACGTTATGATTTTCCTTTTTTTAAATTTCATATAATTGTTTAAATTAATATAAATATGTTTTAACGTTTCTGTGCAGTGCTGACTGTGGAGGGGGATATTCTCATCAAAAAGAATATTATTATAATATATTGTAGRAGACGGTAAGCGTAGCCGTCTTATCTTTTAGATCTGCCGACAAAGACGCTGGTTTTTTAGCATAAGACGATAGGCATTTGTTCGATTTTAAGTAACCGAATAAAACGGACGAAATAAAGGACGTTGTGGATGCGACGAATGAATGCACGAGCGACAAAGGAGAGTGAGTGTTGAGCAAGTAAAGAAAGAGGTTCTGCGTTTTGTAATAG